TGCCCGGCTAATTTTTTTGTATATATATTTTTAGTTGGCCAATTAATTTATTTCTATTTTTGGTAGAGACGGGGTCTCACTCAGGCTGGTTTCGAACTCCTGACCTTGAGCAATCCGCCTGCCTCGGCCTCCCAAAGTGCTAGGATTATAGGTGTGAGCCACCACGCCCGGCTTTACTTCTGGGTTCTTTATTCTGTTCCATTAGTCTATGTGTCTGTGTTTTTACCAAAACCATGCAGTTTATTTTGCTATGGCTTTGTAGTGTAGTTTGCACTTTTTATCCACATGAATTTATGGGGTACAATTGTACTTTTGTTACATGTGCGGATTGCATAGTGGTAAAGTCAGGGCTTTTAAGGTATCCATCACCCAAATAGCATACATTGTATTCATTAAGTAATTTATCATCATCCAATACCCTCCCACCCCTTCTGTCTTCCAAGTCCCCATTTTCTAACATTCCACACTCTACATCCTGTGTATACATTATATAGCTCCCACTTATAAAGAAAAACAAGCAGTATTTGTCTTTCTGTGTCTAACTTGTTTCATTTAAGATAATGGGCTCTGGTACCATCCCTCTGCTGCAAAAGCCATGATTTCATTCTTTTTTATGGCTGAATAGTATTCCGTTGTGTATATATACCACATTTTCTTCATCCAATCCCCACTGATGGAAATTAGGTTGATGCAATACCTTTGTTGTTGTAATATTACTGCAATGAACATACAAGTGCAGCGTATTTTTGATAGAATGATATTTTTTTTTCCTTTTGGGAGGTACCTACTAATGGGATTGCAGAATATAATGATAGGTCTAGTTTTAGTTATTTGAGAAATCTTCATACTATTTTCCAATATGTTGTATTAATACTAACTTACATTCCCACCAAAACTGTATAAATATTTCCTTTTGTCATCCTTCTCACCAATATCTGTTATTTTTTGTCATTGTATTAAGAGCAATTCTAACTAGTGTAAGATGATATGTCATCGTGGTCTTAATGTGCGTTTCTCTTTTTATTGGTAATGTTGAATATTTTTTCATATGCCTGTTGTACATTTGTATTTCTTATTATGAAAAATGTCTATATATCCTTTTCCCAATTTTTAGTGGAATTCTTTGATTTTGTTATTATTGTTGAGTTGTTTGAGTTCCTTGTAAATTCTGAATATTAGTCCCCTATGGGATGCATAGTTTGCAAATATTTTCTCTCATTTCTACAGATTGTCTGTTCACTCTGTCCATTATTTTTTTGTTGTTGTGTAGAAGCTTTTTAGTTTAATTAAGTTCATTTGTCTAGTTTTGTTTTGTTCCATGTACTTTTGAGGTCTTAGTCATGAATTCTTTGCCTAGACCAATGTCCATAAGAGTTTTTCCTAAGCAGTTTTCTAGTGTCTCTATAGTTTCATGTCTTATATTAAAGCCTTTAATCCATCTTGAGTTGATTTTTGTATATAAGGAGAGATACACATTCAGTTTCATTCTTCTGCATGTGGCTATCCAATTTTCCCAGCACCATTTATTGAAAAAGCGGTCCTTTCCCTAGGGAATGTTTTTGTCAGCTTTGTCAAAGATCAATTGGCTGTAAATATGTGGCTTTCTGCCTGGGTTCTGGATTCTGTTCCATTGATCTACGTGTCTATTTTCTAAATCAATATCATGCTGTTTTGGTTACTTAGCCTTGTAGTATTAATATAATTTGTGGTCAGTTAATGTGATACATCCAGCTTTTTGTTGAGGACTGGTTTGGATATACAGTATTTCTTTATGCTTCCATATGAATTTTAAAATTTTTTTCTATTTCAATGAAAAATGTCATTTGTATTTTGATAGGGATTATGTTAAATCTGTAGCTTTCTATTGATAGTATTATAATTTTAACAATAATATTCTTGTGATCCATGGGCATGTGATGTCTTTCTATTTGTGTCCTCTTCAATTTCTTTCAGCAATGTTTTGTAATTTATTTTGTTTGGTTGCTTTTTTGTTTTGTAGTGGTCTTTTAAAAATTTTTTTTATTTCAGCATATTACAGGGTAAAAAATGTTTAGATTACATATATTGCCTTTGCTCTACCATAGTCAGAGCTTCAAGCATGTCCATCCCCCAGACAGTGCACACCACACATATTAGGTGTGTATATACCCAAACCCTCTCCCCCCTCCCATGTGCTCCACACCAGATGAATGTTATTACTATATGTGCACCTAAGTCTTGTTCAGTTAATACCAATTTTATGATGAGTGCATATGGTGCTTGGTTTTCCATTCTTATGCTACTTCTCTTAGTTGAATGGGCTGCAGATTTATCCAAGATAATACAAGAGGTGCTAGATCATCATTGTGTTTTGTGGCTGAGTAGAACTCTATGGTATACATATACCACATTTTATTAATCCACTCATGTATTGAGGGGCACTTGGGTTCTAGAAAAAATAATTCTACACTTTGTATGGTCTTTCATCTTGGTTAAACTTATTCCTGGGCGTTTTATTTTTGTGTTTAGCTACTGTAAATGGAATTACTTTCTTGATTTCTTTATCAGTATTTTTATTGGTGTATAGAAATGTTACTGATTTTTGCATGCAAACTTTTTAATCCTTAAAATTTACAGAATTTTTATATAAGTTCTAAAAGTTTTTTGGTGGAGTCTTTAGGATTTTCTATATATAAGATCATGTCATCTGCAAAGAGGGACAATTGTACTTTCTACTTAACAATTTGGTGAGGTTTTTGTAGTAATACTGTTTGATTACATTCTTTTTCTCCTCTGTGTATGTGCTCTACCAGTAGGTTTTATATTTTTGTGTGCTATCATGATGGTAGACAGCCCATCAGGTGAGCTGGTCCCCAGGCACCACTGGTGGCAGTAGGGAACCCCAGCAGGCCAGTCCTCAGTTCCCCGGGCAGCCTGCGGGGTGCAGGTGAGCATCTTGGGCAGAGCAGGTAGACTTTCAAGTCCCTGAACAACATGCATTGTGTCTGCAGTGGCACTAGTGGTGACAGACAGTCCTCTGGCCCCTGGGTTGCCCGCGAGGGCACCTGCAGTGGCAGTGGCAGGCTAGGCAGGCGAAGACCCAGACCCCAAGTGGCCTGTGCAGGAGGGCAATGACAACAACAGAGTGTGTGGTTCAGACTGCCTGGGTCTCCACTAGATACACAAAGGTGCCTGTGACAACAGGCTAGGAATGCCTACCCTTAGGACCCTGGAAGTGCATGCAGGTGCTGCTTGTGGCAGCAGTGGCCACAGGTGAGGCAGGCCTGTCCTTAGGTTCTTGGATGACTTGCACAGGCACAAGCTCTGGTGTACAGGAAGGGCCTCCCTAGGTCCCATCAATGTGCACAAGAGCACTGCCAATGCCAGGCAGGGCAGTTTTGTCCTCAGACCTTCGGACCACATGCATGTGTGCCATAATAGGTAGCAGGAGCTAGTGAGGTAAGAATATTCTCAGAACCCCAAGGGTTCACTCAGGTACATGGCAACCCCAATGGAAACCCCACTTTGGAGAGGGTAGAGTTGAATCAGTAGGCTCTCAGGCTCTGGAAAGCAAGTACTTCAGCACCCTTTGTCCTGGTGACACCCCCCTGGATCGGCTGCTCTTCCTGCTCCCTGAGATGTAGGGTAAATTGCTAGAGAACTGGCTACACCAGCTGACATCATGACACTGGAACACTTTGGGTGAACACCAGGGGTTGACTGCAGGTTTCTAAGGATGGGGATATCCAGGAGTATTGGGCTAACGTGCAAGATTTAGCCTTGTGGGTGCTGGGCTCTCAATATAGCACAATGCTTCAGGTAGTTGGATCTAGAGTGGTGAGTAAGACGCAGTGTAAACTCCTTCTCTGAAACAGTGCAATCATGTGGACTCGAGGAAGTTACTTATACTAGGCTCAGAGCCTGGGATGGCCAGAGGCTCTCCTGTGATCAGGATTTCTGGTGACTGTAGTGAGAAGGTGAACTGGTGGTGATCTCTTGCTTACTACCTTTTCCCCAAAATGGAAAGTCCCCCACGGTTTTGAGACAATCCTGGCCAGATGACTCCTTGGCTTCCTGCTCCTTCGGTGCCTCATTGGGTCTCCATCACTTCCCTGCTGAATTCCAGTGTTCCTTCTCAGATGCTCTATTCAGTGTGTTTTGTTCCTCTTTTTGTGGAGGGGACAAGTGACTGGCATCTCTAGTCTTCCAAACTCAAAGTTCATTTCCTTTCCCTTTTTCCTGTACTAGTAGGTGTTTGCTGTCATCTCTCTCCTTAGGTTTTATGAAGCTGCGTATAGGTAAAGAAAATGCAGTAGATGAAACAATTATTTGAAGACATTTTAAATGGCACATTAACACTGTACTAGATACAACCCCCTTTTATTTTTCTCCAGGGACAAATGAAAAAGATAAAAATTATAACCTGCCCAGACTCTGCATCCACAAGTTCTTCCCAAAGAAGAAATGCTTTGTCTTCTACCCACCCACTGAGTGGAAGAAACTTAACCAGCTTGAAACACTACAGGATGATGAACTGGATTGTGATTTTGTGCAACAAGTGGCAAAATTCTGTTCCTACACCTCCAGCCATTCCAAGACTAAAACTCTTCCTGGAGGCATCAAGGTCAATGGACCTCGTGAGTCCCCAACCCAGTCTTTCCACTCATTGTTAAGACTAAGGGGGCAAATAACATTCACTTATTTTCAGTTTTGAAAAGTGCAGGGTCTCCCGCTATAATTTGTGAAATTCTAACAGTATCAACAAATATCTGATACTTAACATTAGTCAAATCATTGGGATGGGAAGAGATAGATAGTGAAGGCCAAGGTAAAGAATCTGTATTCTTAATATTTTCCCAGTGGGCAGAACTTACACAGTACAATTAGGTAGGCAGTAGACATAAGGGTTGCCATTTAAATTTAAATGCAAATTAATTAAAATTTAAGAAAATTAAAAATTCAGATCACATAGCATTTTTTCAAGGGCTGCAGAGCTACATGTAGTTAGTGGCTTCCATAATGGACAGCGTGGACATAGAACATTTTATTTATCCCAGAATGTTCTATGGAACAACACTGAGTTAGAATGAACCAAATGAAGGATGCCATCTGACTGGGATGGCACTCTTTGATCTACAGATATGGATTAAAGGCTAACCAGGGGGCATGATACAGAAGACAGATGATACAGACATAAATGAGAAAGATATGGTTCCTGTGCTAATGGTGCTTAGGGCTCAGGTAGATACAAGTACTCAACACATTTCCCTATACAATACGGAAATTCTCAACCTATGGTGCACATACATGGCACCTGGGTATGTTGTCAAGGGCAAGGTTCTGTTTCAGCAGGTCTGAAGCAAGGTCTGACAATCTGTATTTGTATCAGGCTCTTCCCCATGATGCTCATGACATTAATGAGGCAAATAGTTAAAAATAGACAAGCTCAGAATTAAACAAAATAGAGACCTTCCTTCACTCAACCTACAACCAACATCATCATTTGTTCTGTATTTATAGGTCTACAGAGCCTTGTGCTGACTTATGTCAGTGCCATCAACAGTGGGGATCTGCCCTGCATGGAGAACGCAGTCCTGGCCTTGGCCCAGACAGAGAACTCAGCCGCAGTGCAAAAGGCCATTGCCCACTATGACCAGCAGATGGAGAAGGTGCAGCTGCCCACAGAGACCCTCCAGGAGCTGCTGGACCTGCACAGTGCCAGTGAGAGGGAGGCCACTGAAATCTTCAGCAGGAGTTCCTTCAAAGATCTAGACCACAAATTTCAAATGGAATTAAAGGTATTTTTTTCTCTCAAGTATATATGGATTAGTGTCATGGAAACCAAAGTACTACCAGGAAATGAAACAAGTATTTATTCTGATAGAAGAAATTCTTAGAATCTTACTAGCTTCACATGGACACTACATTGGTAATCATAATAATCTAGAAGACAATTTATTTTTACGACTCATTTAAACATTTTTTAAAATAAAAGGTACCTGTTAACTTTATTAGGAGCCATATAATACAATCAGAGCTTTTTCTCTCAAGGTTAAAACCTACTATTCAATCAGGTTTATCTGCAATCATACTAACCAAAAGAAATGAAATTTATAGTCTAAAGTCTCTTCAGCAGCTGTATGCGTTATACTTGTGCATTTATGGCAATCATGCGGTCATTGAAAATTCAGAGACTTTTATGTGTTAAGTTCAATAGAGCTGCAAATCTCGCTCAATGAATATCACACCTAAGGGTAAGGACTTCAGAAAGAGGCATCCAAGTCAAGAAGAAAAGACAAGAGGTTCTCCTAGTTGCTATAAATGTTGAGGGAGAACATAGATTATTTGGAGAAAACCTTTCAGAAATTCTGAGCGCCATTAACAACATAGCATTTTCTGGGTATTGTTTCTTTTCTATTTTTACAATCAGTGGTCAACTAGACAACATGGAAAGACTTTTGGAAACAGAATCAGGAACATCATCAAATCATTGCGCAGGCTTTATAAAAGCTTATTTTAGTCCTCTGGAAAATGTGAGCCCAGGGATTACTCAAACCAGGCTATCCATGCTCTTCTTCAGAAACACAAAGCTGAAGGAAAATACTTTGAGGAACTCGAGGAAGGGGGCACAGGGAAAAATTTAGCTGTGTGTTCTGGAATTTATGAGTGCATCTTTCAAACACCTAGGCCAAGCATCAGTGCACATCCATCCGGTTTTCCATCTACACAGCACTTATGTTTTATTCCAGTAACTGGAGATTAAATTCAGATTCCACATAATTTCTAGGTACATCAAACAGAGTACTCAACTAAATATTTGAGAAACCATTGAATTGCAGATAATATTAGGTACCACTCTATTACAACTGGAAATTTGATTTCCAAAGTACAGAAGCCACTACTTGCTAAGCAGAAACACTAATTACGTTTAGGCTCACGCTGCTGTAAGGAGAGGCCTGGATCCAAGATAATGAACAATGTCTCCATTTTTTCTTTTTTCACTTCTCTATCCCATTCCCTCCATTCTCTTCCACCTCCACTCCTGATCTGCTACTCCACACAACTTCATGCTCCAGCAACAGCTTGTGGAACCACAACAGCCGCCTCCACTTAAGTCTCACTCTAACAAATGGAATCTCTACGTCACAAGTGTCATATCGAGTCCCAAAAGGACGCGCTGAGTGGGTGCCTGATTGTCCAGCTTAGCCTGTGCCTGCCCCTTGACTGAGTCTTGACTACTAGGCAGAGCAGGCCAGGAGAGCAATTCCTAGTGAAACACTGGTGGGCACACAAAGAAATTTGCACAGCCATTTCCCTGAGCTAACTCTGCTCTCTGGAATCTAAGCTGATGAGGTTCGCGGACTACTTGAGCTCCAAGCATCTATGAGTTGCAATCTAAAGACACGAATGCTCTTCCACAAAAAGAAAGGAGGCTGATGTAAGGAGTAAGCCAAGATACTGTATGCACAAGGTCTTAAAGTTTAAATTTTCAAGTAAAACTGTGATTATTAAACTAGACGAAAACTAAAATATTGTAACTCTTGAATATTCTGAGAGGACGTAGGCCAGTTCAAATTACATTATAGTACCCTAAAAGAAAATGTTTCCAGGAAAATATAGATGTCATATCACCTGTGTTAGAGCTGGACCATACTACTAACGTGAAGTAACCAAGATGGAAAAAATAACACTAGATAACCCAGCAAACTGGTAAACTGAGACAACCTAAGTGGTACACCATAGTACACAGTCAATAGGGTATTGGGCAGTGGGAGGGGGCAGGGGCGGGTATATACATACATGAATGAGTGAATTGCACCATCGGGGGAGGATGATGGAACTGCAGATTTGGGGGAAGGGGGAAATGGCCATTTATTGAACCTTAAAATCTGTACCGCCCATAATAGCCAACAAAAAAAAAAAAAAAAAAAGAAAAATGTTTCCAGGAAAGGGTTTTCTATATGGATGTCAAACAATAACAATGAAGGAAAGGAAGAAGAAGGACATTTCTGTGTCTGCTAGTTGGGACCAGTAAACAGAACACATACAAGGTAGCTAAAGCATGTGTCACACAGTTTTGTAGGCAGGCAGCGAGTCAGGCTGAGCGTGGCAGTTTTTCTGATTAGCCCTCTTTTCGGATTACAGGAGGCTGCTTCTTGCTGTATCCTTAACATGGATGGTGGAAAGAGTGAGTCTAGTCCCTCAAATCTCTGAGAAACTATTCCCCATTATTGGACCACTCTCATGATCCGGTAGAAATGAATACCTCAACCAAGGCAAACCTATATACTTCTCTTTTTTCACTTTCCTCATGAACGTATAAATAGCTGAACTGCAAAGGAGATTTTCAAACGGTTGCAGGATATGCAACAGAATAAACAGATGATGGAACAGAGAGAAAAGAGTTATCAGGAGCAATAACACATCTGAATGAGAAGATGGAAGAGTGCGGACAGGCCCATTTGTTGCAGAAGCAATTAGAGAATGTAGCCATAAGCTTCAGGTATCAATTGTGCCATTCTTTCTTTATTGTAAGATAAGCACAGTATAGAGCTAATATGTAGAAAAGGAATTCTAGCCATATATATTAGGCTTCATTCCCTTATCGACAGCCATGTCATCTCTATTACTAAAAGCATTTCTTACTAGAATAAAACCCCAGGAAGAATACACTTTGTTAAAATCACTACGTAACAGAGCTATTCACTCAACTTGCAATACATATTTATAGGCATTCTGTAGTGATTTGTGAATGGCGAATACGAACGAGAAACTTGCTTAGTGTTCCATCTTGTCATTCACTAAATATAGAGAGAGAGTATACCCTACCGCAGGATATTCGATCATTTCATGTTCAAGTATACTTAGTAAATCTTATCGATGCATCAAAATTACTCTTATTTAAAATGTCTGGCCTGGAGAGAGGAGTAATGGATTTTCCCATACTCCACACCAAATAGAGTCAGTGCAGAGATAAGTAGAGCAACATAGCAGCTTGTTATTCGAGACAAGCGCCAACATAAAATATGAGCAACAAATATATCACATAGCACATTCTACTTACCAGTTGGAGTAATCGTTAACTACTATCACGAGAATGTGCGCAGGACCAAAGCTGGTAGAGCCACATGGAGTAGACGGGAGTTAACAACTACACGACAACAAGCGAGCATGACACTATCATGATGCGCATGTGACAACAGTAGGTGATCATTGACGGGTACTTCTGGTACCATACATTAGGACCCTACACAGCACGCATATATCTGCATGTAACGCCAGATGAGGATGGCACCTATGGCACCCTAGTAAGCATCCTGACTCGGTCCTCAGAAATCTAGTATTCCTCGTACTGGTCTCACTGAATTTGAGAGCTTATTAGAATCCTCATCAGACAGCTCCTTCGATTCTGATATCATGTAGAATATCCTTTGATTTCAAATTTCTCTGATATGCTTATGGGAAAAGTATATAAGTGAAAGTGAACAACAAACATTGACAATCAGATTGGATAACTATTCAATTGGAATCAAAAATTCAGGATGGAATTCTGTGCAAAAAAATATTTCTAGGTGTTATAAATAGGAAAAATTATACTTACCTACAAAGAAAATTCAGAAAAATATAGAAAGGATCACCGTGACTCAGAGAGACATGATTTTAGGAGACCGAGAATTGAGAAGATGTCAAAGCCTTTAAGAATGATTGCAAGTCTAAAAAAATTAAACATAAAATTAAAGGTGAAATTTAGTAACTCTTATCATTTTCTGTACTAAGTCATATTCACCACTGCTCTCCCTTGACAGAAGGAAGGGAATCAGTGCCAGAGTATTTCTCTCCTTACCCTGCTGATGCTGCTCATCGCAAACAAAATAAGGTCGAGCCCTGCAAGGAGGCCAAGACACAGGCAATATCCTGGAACACCAGAACCGCGAAGGATGGTACTAGGTTGATTGGCAACCAGAAGAAGACCAGTGCAAATGCCAGCATACCCCTTCCCACTACTGCCTGGATTGCGAAGAGGTTAAGTCTCTCTCCATCAAGTTGTAATAATTTCTATGTCATGCCAAAATGCACTTTTAATCATTGTCAAAAGATTCTGGCCAAACAGTAGTGATATCATTATTACGTTATTAGAAGAGCTTGTATTCTCTCCTGGCTCCTGGAAAATCCAATTTGTTATTCCACTCGAGAGAAAGTATGTCAGGTGCATATTGGGTAAGATATCATAAACATCTAATTGCCACTACCACAATCTAACGACCCTGTAGGCTATCAGTTAGGGATATTTTCGAAGGGGAACCCGGAAGTTGATTATGAGCGAAACAAGAAGCAAAATCATACTACATATAATGGAAATTAGTTAATTCTCAATCATTTCCTGAGCCAATCCACATAAACCTATGTTCTGGAACATCTGTTCCGCCAACGTGCGACAGTTATGTCAGGGTAAACTAGAATAAACACACAGTTAGGTTTCACGGTCCATCTCAACACGAAACATAACGCTCTGGTTCGGGCAGATACTGGACATACCTACTATGGGGTTTTGTGCCAGGTGTGATTTTCAATTTTTACAAGAACTAAGAATGGCAGTGTTTCCCCATTATATTCCTTTTTTAAGCTTGTCTACAAGCTTGACTTGATCCGTGCCAATAGTACTATCACCAAGATGCTAGGCCAAATGTCTGCATTTTAGAAATTATAATTATAAGAAAAGAAGAATTTTAAAAAGCCTGCTACCGATAGAAATTTTCATTCATGTATTTTTCCCATCCAATTAAGCCAAGCGCGTAGCTCTTTTTCTGATTCATTTTCCTTTTCCTGACCATTTTGCGCCGGCTGTGTTTACAGCCCTGGTACTTGCA